AACTCGGTCCTGGAGGGCCGGTGTCCTGCAGAGTTTAGCTCCAACTTGCCTCAACACACATGCCTTCAAGTTTCTAGTATGCCTAGTAAGAGCTTGATTAGCTGGTTCAGGTGTGTTTAATTGGGGTTGGAGCTAAACTCTTCAGGACACCGGCCCTCCAGGACCGAGTTTGGGCACCCCTGCTTTAAACCCTAAGACGACATGCTTAGACATGCTTAGACATGCTTCTTATTTAGACTGAGTGGAGGCTGATTTGTCAAAAAACTAATCATAAAAAGTAGAAAAACACTGAAAAATTTACTTAAGTGCTGTAATGGGAGTAGTAATTTGTTTCTTTCTACTTTTGAAATGTATTATTCTATATATCAAGTCACTGCTGCAGGCCGTTGAATCAATGCTAGTCTTTATCCATTTATTTGTGTCTGTCCTCTGCAGGATTTGTGGCTGTGGCTCTGGTGAGTCGGGCTGTTCGTCATGTGGCTGCTGTAAAGCCTGTGCCAGAGAGCTGGATGGTCAGGAGGCCAGACAGAGAGGAATCTTTGATGCTGTGAAAGAAATGATACCGCTGGACCTGCTGTTAGGTACTGAGGTGTCATCCAGTCACATTCAGTACAGTTTCATATCCATCAAATCACATCCCTTTCCTGTCTGCAGGCTTCATCCTGTCATATGTTCAACCATACTGTCTTCATGCATGAAATATTCAGCTTAGGAAGGGGCGGAATGAAAATTCAACAATTACACTTTGAACAAACAACATTTTTTTTTATATAATACAGTAACCATGAGTAAAAAATAAAAATTTGATAATAATAATAAATGTATTTTATTTGTTTGTCAAGATGAAAGAGGCAAATAAAAGAAAAGAAAAAAAATCAGTTTTACATATTGGCTGTTGAACACTTGTTAAAAATAAAAAATGATTCAATCTCTAATTTGTACTGTCATGTGGTGTACAGTTATACTGCCCAGTCCTAATGCAGATCAGTGTGGTCTCTGTATATTTACCTAGTGAATCAGCACTGTTATTATCAATGTTGAAAACAGTTGCACTGCTTAATATTTTTGTGGAAACCCCATGATACATTTTTTTCAGGATTCCTTATTGAATAAAACAATATTTATTTCATATTAAAAAAAATTTTTTTGTAACATTATAAATGTCTTTACTGCCATTTTGGATTAATTAAAAGCATTATTACTTACTAAAAGTATCAGTTTCTTTAAAATAAAAATCTTACTGGCACCAAACCTCTAAATGGTAGTATAAAATCATGCAATATCATGAATATTGAACTTCAGTAGCAAAAAAGACGTTGGAGTTTTCGTAAATTAGGTTCAACAGTCTGTTTCAATAAACTGGTTGAAATTGAATTTGAAAATTAAAATTCAACTATTTATTTGCATCAAGTGTAAATGGAATTCATCATCTGACATTTTTCATGTATTACAAGTCTTGAAGTAAAAATATATAGATAAGTAAATATTGCTAGTTGATACTATATATTGGTCTCGCTGATGTTCGTGTGTCTTGCTTATTTTAATAATATTTTTTAAACTGTATTTTAGTATTTCACAGTTTACTACTTGCCAACAATAGCTATTTTGTTAAAAATATTGGTTAAAAATCTCCCTTTCTATTTTATTTGTTTATTTATATTTAAGTTTTTAGGTATATCACCCAGCTCTAATATTATAAATTTTTTTTAACAACAAAATTTTTTTTTTGCACCATAATATGACACGGGAATTTGGTAGACAGCCCACTGCATATATTACTTGTTCTTTTTCTCCCCCAGAAACATCTAATCATAATCCATTCTCCTTGATTATGAGCACATCATACATTTTCCATCAAATTTTTCTCTGGGTTCGAAGATGGAGTATTATTACCTACTCGATAATACTCCAAAGCGGCCTGATCATCCAAACTTTCAGCGTTACCTTCTACTTGTGCTTGTTTCCTCTGGGAGTGGGTCGCTTGTGGATGTTCCCTTCTCGCTTGTGTTCTCATTATATACCATGTGTTATATACCATGTTTTATTTTCCATTTGTGAGATGCTTTGCGCCATGCATGTGAAAGTTTCTCTTTCCCCTCATAGGCCCCCTTGTTTTTCCTGGTCCCCTTTTAATGAACCAGCGTGAGCAGGTGCTAGCCAGACTAAGACCCCTTCAGGCCTTTAAGCTAATGCGGGAGAGACTCAAAGGTACTGCGGTCTTCTCTACAGACTCCACCTTGAGCCCCATAATGCCCCTCTCTCTCCCTTCCTTCAACAAACTCTACTCTGCTGCCTCTTCCAGCTTTCTCTGGACACAGTAGCGTCTCTCTCTATCTGCATCTCTTCCTCTGTCTCTCTGGTGAAAGAAAAAAAAACTTTCTATTTTACTACTGTAGCAGGACTAGGGAATTGTCATGCTGCGTTAATTGCAAAAAAAATAAAATAATAATAATAATAGTGGCCAAATGTGGTGTCTTTGCTTAAAATAGCAAATTGCATCTCAGTCTGACTTTTAAGTTATCATTTTGAGTCAAGATTAGCTTTTCACAATGGCTTAAAATAAATCCTAGTGCATGGCCAATATAAATAGAACATTATGCCTTGTAGTTATTTTAAGAAACATCGAAATAATAGCCATGCTGAATCTCCATCTGAATGTGTCTTAATATTTGGCCTACCACCTACCACGTTGTAGTGTGAACCTGTGACCGGTACTGGATTATTAACCGTATTATGTTATTATTTGTAGAATTAACATGATATTAATATAATTTTTAAAAAAATATTATGATTATTGTCAATACTGGCATATCGTGACACCCCTAGTTCATAGTGATCACAACTACCAAACTCCAAAAATGACAAAAAAAAGACTTCTATTTTCCATCTTCTCCCATTATAGCTATTGAATATCATAATCAATTTAGTAAAAAAAAAACACATAATGTCGCCTGCAAGAAGTTTCGCATTTAAACTTGAACGCAAATAAAAAAAGATTTCAGAGATTAATTAACAACAAATATTATTAGCTGTCACTCAATATTAGTGAATTATCAATGATTAACCACTAAAATGACAGCATATAGGTTTTGGAATGACATAAAAACAGAAATTCCATATTTGGGAATTTCTATTCCTATACTCTTTATTTTTTTTCTACTACTAACCATTATGTTAAAGGGTTAGTTCACCCAAAAATGAAAATTACCCCATGATTTACTCACCCTCAAGCCATCCTAGGTGTATATGACTTTCTTCTTTCAGACGAATCCAGTCGGAGTTATATTAAAATTGTCTTTGATCTTTCAAGCTGTTTCATGGCACTCAGCGGGTGTTGCATGCTTCAGTTTAAAAGAAGTTAAATAAAAAGCGCCCATCCATTGCAGGGGTCACAGATCTGCAATTATTTTTACACTGTGTCGTGGTAAATTTACCGATCTGCACTATTTTAATCAGTGTGGAGTGAAAGGAGTAAACTTTTCCTGTTCCTTCATTGGATTTGTGCCTCCAATCAATGCCAAATCTCTTTTATTAACCCTTGATAGAGAGAGTTTAAGGTTGTATACAATCACAACTTTCCGCTCGGTTTATCTTCTCTCCTTTGCTCGACCTCTGTCCACGCATGCCAATATTTCATTTCTTCTCTGTTTTTCTCCTTTCCTCTGAGGCACCAGATAATTTCTCTTCCCAGGTCGTTAACAGCCCCCGGCTTCACTTGCTGCCTTTAGACATCCGTCTCGTCTCTCGCTGTCCTTGTCTGCCCTTTAGCGCCCAGGCTCACGCTTTGTTCTGTGTTACAGATGGCAGCAGTGAACGCGGGGACAAAGATGCCAGTAAGATCACTACATATCCTCCCGGGGCCGTACGCTTCGACTGTGAGCTGCGAGCCGTGCAGGTCAGCTGCGGTTTCCATCACTCCGGTGAGTGAAGATCACATCTGACCTTGATAATGTGACAGGAGGCCATTGTTCATTTTCCCCATCATTACTTTGAGTCAATATTTGATTTTCCTGTTTTTTGATATGCCAAGTCTGAATTGAAGTCATATGTCCATTTGTAATGGTAAACCTGTTTTTTTGGCAGTGGTGTTAATGGAGAATGGAGATGTTTACACCTTCGGTTATGGACAGCATGGACAACTTGGGCATGGAGATGTTAATTCTAGGTAATGAGGGTTTAAAGGCAGTTATCTAAGTTTGCAGTGATAACAGCTGTCAATCTCCACAAATTAGACAATTTTTTATATAACTCCGACTGGATCCGTCTGAAAGAAGAAAGTCATATACACCTAGGATGACTTGAGGGTGAGTAATTTATGGGCTAATTCTCATTTTTGGGTGAACTAATCCTTTAAGGGCATTTTCTTATGCTATTCAACACAAAGTCCGTCAATTTAAAATATAATTGAACCACATTTACCTCTGCACCAGTGAATACAGATACCTGTTGGTCATTTACAATGTCCTTAAACCCATCAATATATATATTTCATAATATTCTATCAAATATGAACAAAGATATTTTAAATATGCGGGGCATTTTTGTCACTTTTAGTGGCATTTTTGCTCTGAATCCTGAATTTGTGACCCTGGTCTAAATGTAACACTATGTTCTGTTCTATAAAATGCATTATACGTGTATATTTTTGCATGCAGGGGTCACAGATCTGCAATTATTTTTACACTGTGTCGTGGTACATTTACCGATCTGCACTATTTTAATCAGTGTGGAGTGAAAGTAGTCAACTTTTCCTGTTCCTTCATTGGATTTGTGCCTCCAATCAATGCCAAATCTCTTTTATTAACCCTTGATAGAGAGAGTTTAAGGTTGTATACAATCACAACTTTCCGCTCGGTTTATCTTCTCTCCTTTGCTCGACCTCTGTCCACGCATGCCAATATTTCATTTCTTCTCTGTTTTTCTCCTTTCCTCTGAGGCACCAGATAATTTCTCTTCCCAGGTCGTTAACAGCCCCCGGCTTCACTTGCTGCCTTTAGACATCCGTCTCGTCTCTCGCTGTCCTTGTCTGCCCTTTAGCGCCCAGGCTCACGCTTTGTTCTGTGTTACAGATGGCAGCAGTGAACGCGGGGACAAAGATGCCAGTAAGATCACTACATATCCTCCCGGGGCTGTACGCTTCGACTGTGAGCTGCGAGCCGTGCAGGTCAGCTGCGGTTTCCACCACACCGGTGAGTCAAGATCACATCTGACCTTGATAATGTGACAGGAGGCCATTGTTCATGTTCCTCATCATTACTTTGGGTCATTATGTGATGTTCCTGTTTTTTTGATATGCCAAGTATGAATTGAAGTCATGTGTCCATTTGTAATGGTAAACCTGTTTTTTGGCAGTGGTGTTAATGGAGAATGGAGATGTTTACACCTTTGGTTATGGACAACATGGACAACTTGGACATGGAGATGTTAATTCTAGGTAATGAGGGTTTAAAGGCAGTTATCTAAGTTTGCAGTGATAACAGCTGTCAATCTCCACAAATTATAATCAGCCTAAAAGTATCATAAAAATAGCCCAGAACTCTGTCTCTCTATGGATGCAGGAAAATTAATAACAAATAAATGTAATTTTCTTTTATTTATATATTGTAATTATTTTTTTTTTTACATTTTTATTTTAATTATTTATATTAATTATTTTAATTATTTAATTGTACTTATTGTATGTATTTTTGTATTTTATCTAATTATTTATTTTAAATATCTATGCATTTATGTTAAAAAAAAATTGTTGCAATTTTTCATAATAATTTTAATTATTTAATTGTTTCATTTCAATTTAATTGTATTTATTTTATTTATTTATATATTTATGTATTTTACTTGTATACTTTTGAATATCTGTTTATATATATATATATTTCTAATATTTTTATTATTATTTGTTTATTTTCAATTTGCTTAAATTGTTTATGTATTTATTTTATTTAATTGTGTTTATTTTGTATATTTATATTTATGTGTTTAATGTAGTAATTTTAAATATTTATTTGTTTGTTTTATATTTATTTTATATTTTTTATACAAAATATTTATTTAAATTGTTTATTTTTTATTTTAATGATTTACTTATTTCAATTAATTATTTAATGAAAATCTTTAATTTTATAAAATTAAAATTGATAGCAAACAAACTATAACAACTTAAAAAAATAAACCTTAACCTTTGCTACTTTGAATTTTGTCCAAACACACAGGGGGTCTCCCACTCTGGTGCAAGCTCTGCCCGGCCCCAGTACTCAGGTGACGGCAGGCAGTAACCACACTGCAGTGCTTCTCATGGATGGACAGGTCTTCACCTTCGGGAGTTTCTCGGTAAGTTAGCTGTTACCCCTGAAACTAAGTCAGTCAAGTAAAAATTTTTTCCATCCATTTCCATTCATATGTAGGTTAAGAACCAGAAGATGTATCTCATGTTGTCTCAACAGAAAGGGCAGTTAGGACGGCCCATCCTAGACATGCCCTACTGGAACGCCAAGCCCTCTCCGATGCCCAACATTGGCGCCAAGTACGGTCGAAAAGCCACGTGGATCGGGGCCAGCGGTGATCAAACCTTCCTTAGAATCGACGAGGCGCTAATCAACTCCCACATCCTGGCCACCTCCGAGATTTTTGCCAGCAAACACATCATCGGTACGCTCTCTCGCTGACTCCCTGTTGTGGTTTAAAAAGCCTATGTGTTGTGTCTCCCGTAAAGCCTTTGACTGTTCCCTCACATTCTTGTCTCTCTAGGTTTGGTTCCAACATCGGTATCTGAGCCTCCTCCCTTCAAATGCCTACTGATCAACAAACTGGACGGGAGCTGCCGCACCTTCAATGACTCAGAGCAGGAGGATCTCCAGGGTTTCGGCCTCTGTTTGGACCCTGTCTATGATGTCATCTGGAGGTGAGGCTCATCTGGAGCCAGCTGACTCTTAATAATGCCTTTACGATCATGTCACCTAAAAAAACACTGTACACAGTTTCTCAGGGTTTCAGTGGTCGACATCTGTTCTGCAGACAAATGATAAATTATGAAAAAATATTGGTAAAAAATCTGACTGATGAATGACATGCTGCATGCTTAACTCTTGTCCCAAGCTATATCTTCTCACTTCAAGCTGTCTTGCTCTTCTTCCAGGTTCCTACCTGCCACACGTGAGATGTGCTGCTATAATGCGCAGCTTCCTCCCTGCCGCGCGTGAGATGTGCTGCTATAACGCGGTGATAGCAGACGCCCGTGTGCCCAATGCCTCGGACATCCAGGCCCTCTGCAGCATCCTGAGTCCTGAGCTGGCTCTGCCCTCGGGCTCCCACTCCACCACCACCCGCTCCCACGGAGCGCTGCACATCCTGGGTACGACAGCAGCATGTCACTCGAGCTCAGCTTTACTAGTGTTTAATGTGCAGTTCACAGCACTCTCTTGTCGAGCAGGATCTCAAAGCCTGTCAGGAATGAAGTCACATGATGGTAGGACATTCAAAGCTGGCTAGCTGTTTCTCCGTGAGCTCAGCTCTACAGAGAGGAAATGGTGCTGGTTGACTGGCATTGTCTAAGAAAGACTGTCAGTCTTTGAGCTTTGTCTGTCAAATCAAATTTTCCTGTATTTTTTAAGAATAAGATATCGTTTTACTGTGGAAACACAGTGTAACTTTCAGAACTTCTTCTCCAGTTAAAAAAGCAGCTCCCTCTCAGTTTTGTAGCTTACTGTTACACATCAGCCACGCCTGTTTACTATTCAGAAACGTGGCTCATCCAGTCACGCTGAAGTAATTCAGTGGAATTAGGATAGATGCTATTATTCTAATGCTGAACAGAATAATAATTGAAAAGAGTAAATTATGGTTAAATCAGCCAAACCTTTATTATTTCTGACTGTGTGTAGCACCTACTGCTCTGCAGATTCGTCAGATCCTTAAGGTTGGAATACACTACATGACTTTTGCCCAGATTTTTCTTGAAATTACTGTCCGGAGAAGTCGACACTAGTTTCCGAAAGTCAGAGCCAGTCTGCAGATCTTACTTGATCGGAGTTGCCAGATCACAGAAAATCATGTAGTGTATGATGGGAACAGACTCTCTTTTTAGCTTCAGACTATGATTCTATCCAGTCAGAGGAGATCAAATGTTTGATATTTTGAGCTGATTTTAGAGTACATACGGTCTTCATGTGTTATGCATCTTCTAGCAACTAGGTCTGTTCAGATTTTAAAAGTTCTGTAGTGCATTCCAGCCCATAAGCATTACAAATCAATGGCTTAAAGGGATAGTTCACCCAAAAATGAAAATTCTGTCATTAATTACTCACCCTCCTGTTGTTCCAAACCCGTAAGACCTTCATCTTCGGAAAAAACAAATTAAGATATTTTTGATGAAATCCGAGAGCTCTCTGACCCTCCATAGACAGCAACACAACTGAAACGTTCAAGACCCAGAAAGGTAGTAAGGACATCATTAAAATAGTCCATGTGACATCAAAGACTGACACAAAAGAGAAGAATTGTTAAATAAAGTCGTTCTTTTTGTTTTCTTTGCGCACAAAAAGTATTCTCGTAGCTTCGTAAAATTAAGGTTGAACCACTGATGTCACATGGACTATTTTAACAATGTCCTTACTACCTTTCTGGGCCTTGAACGTGTCAGTTGTGTTGCTGTCTGTCTATACAGGGTTGCATAGACCACATGGAATTTGTTTAATTTGTGTTCCGAAGATGAACGAAGGTCTTACGGGTTTGGAATGACATGAGGGTTAATTAATGACAGAATTTTCATTTTTGGGTGAACTATCCCTTTAAGTAAATTATTGTAATGAGTTTAATTATTATAATTAATAAACAATTACTTTATTTTAAATTATTATAATATTTAATTATTGCAATTATTATAATGGATTATAATAAGTTTTTAAACAATAGAACAGTACAAACTGTCGTTTGTGAAGGCAAAATAGCAGATTTTTACTTTAACCGTTTAATTCTATAGCGAAAGTGGAAAATGATCAGAATAAACTATATTATGACTAAAATGTTTTGATGCAAAAAAAATTAAATGAACATTTATAAGTAGACCTCAGAGAAAAAACTAATTCTAATTAAAAAAAACACATTGGAGTCTTAAGTTGTAGTGTGTGAGTTGTTCTGTTTGGTTGTGTGTGCAGGTTGTCTGGACACACTGGCTGCGATGCAGGAGCTGAAGATGGGTGTAGCCAGTGCTGAGGAAGAGACTCAGGCTGTGATGAAGGTCTACTCTAAAGAGGACTACAGCGTGGTCAACCGCTTTGAGAGTGAGTTCGTGAAGAATCATACAGCTGCTACATCACCAAATACTGTTTTAGACTGTTAAGGCACATTCACATTCTGCAACTTGACAACTTCCAGCAACATGAGCGGTACATCTAATGTGTGATTAGATATTCAAAAGCTACGTGAATCAGTAGGAACATCTATTACGATCAAAAATAGAACCACTCGGCAAACCCCAGCAATAAAAGTTTGCTAAATTTAGTACAATTTTTAGTCAGGTTGAATTTGTTTGATTGTTGTTTTCTCTAGGTCACGGAGGAGGCTGGGGTTACTCTGCCCACTCAGTGGAGGCCATCCGCTTCTGCGCCGATGCTGACATCTTGTTAGGAGGATTGGGTCTTTTTGGTGGCCGAGGGGAGTACACTGCAAAAATCAAGGTCAGGTGCTATCTAAGTGTCTCCATAGCCCACTTAATTCTCACGAGTCTGTGATTGAGAGCTGTGATTGTGTTTGCAGCTGTTTGAGCTGGGGCCAGATGGAGGAGACCACGAGACTGATGGAGATCTGCTGGCTGAGACAGATGTTCTGGCATACGACTGTGCTGCTCGGTAAGGCTATACATATCAGTACCATCCATTTTTGGCATAAAAGAAAAATCGATAATTTTGACCCATACAATGTTTTTTTGGCTATTGCTACAAATATACCTCAGTGACTTAAGACTGGTTTTGTGGTCCAGGGTCACATATATCATTTCATTTTTGCTCTATATCTAGAGGATAATTGATACATAATTGCTATAATTACGTGTATGTACATAAGCCAACGGGGCTAATCTTAAAATGGGCAAATGTATGTGTTATTTTTGTGTTGTTTATATACTATTATAGTATTTATATATATTCTCAATTTGTCCATTTTATTTTTTTATTTTTTACGTTTTGGTAATTTTGCAATGTACTTTTGTCATTGTTATTAGTTTTTTTTTTGTTTAATTTCAGTTTAAAATGGGCAAATATAAATGTTATTTTAGTAGTATTTATATACTATTCTAAAAATAATTAATTTAATTTTATTGCACCTTTTCATAGCTCAAGTGTGCTTTACATTTAAGATGCATAATAAATACTGTTAATAAATGAGTATAATAAATACTGTTGTTTCTATAATACATAGATATAACAGTATTTATTAATATTTTGAGTCAGGTTTATTTTTATATTTTCATTTTATTATTTTTTATGTTTTAGTAATTTTAAAATGTGCTTTTGGCAAATATAAATGTTATTTTAGTAGTATTTATATACTATTCTAAAAATAATTTAATTTTATTGCATCTTTTCATAGCTCAAGTGTGCTTTACATTTAAGATGCATAATAAATACTGTTAATAAATGAGTATAATAAATACTGTTGTTTCTATAATACATAGATATAACAGTATTTATTAATATTTTGAGTCAGGTTTATTTTTATATTTTCATTTTATTATTTTTTATGTTTTAGTATTTATTTATTTGTTTTAGTCATTTTTATTAGTTTTTGATTAAAAATTTCAATTTAGCTTTAAAATGTTTCTTTTTTTAAGTAATTTTAGTATTTCAACTTAAATGTATTTAATTTCAGTTAGTTTCCAGGGCATCCTTGCTCATTTTAAATGTAATTTTTAACTTTTTTTTTTTTTTAGTATTATATAGATTTGATTAGTTTTAGATGATAGATATTCTGTTCAAAATGGAGGCAAATTTTATGGTAACACTTTTTTTTTTCATGTGTATTCGTGAAACATTTGAGCTGCATCTGTTGTTACTGAACATGAAGCGAACTGACTTCTTACATCTGTTAAAAATCACCAAAACACCAGCTGATTAAGCTAAACTGGCTCGTAAAGACTGATGTGATTTTGATGTTTTGTTTGGTGTGTGCAGGGAGAAGTACGCCATGATGTTCGATGAGCCTGTGCTGCTGCAGTTGGGCTGGTGGTATGTGGCGTGGGCTCGTGTGTCTGGACCCAGCAGTGACTGCGGCTCCCACGGCCAGGCCACCATCACCACTGATGACGGGTACAAACACACGCATTACTGGGATTATGTGATCATTACAGCATGATAATTCTGTAAAGACGATAATTATAATCAAGAACTCTCTCCTGCAGTGTGGTCTTTCAGTTCAAGAGCTCGAAGAAATCAAACAACGGTACTGATGTGAATGCTGGACAAATACCTCAGCTGCTGTACAGGTACATGAGGAATTTCAGTTATGTACTTGTGGCATTGGTGTATCAGGAGTATTCTTTCTTTCACATGCCCGTTTTGTTCTGGTTTTTCAGGTTGCCCTCTAATGATGGTAACGCATCCAAAGGAAAGCAGCAGACCAGTGAGCCTGTGCACATCCTCAAGCGTTCTTTCGCCAGGACCGTGTCTGTGGTATGTGTACAAAAACACACTGAGTGCTTATGGGCCTATAATGTGAAGCTTAATGTTTTTTCCAGATCTAATAATTTCCTTAAAATGCAATACAGTTCATATGAAAATACAGAGTAGGGGGAAAATATAAATAAATAAATGTATGTATACAGGGCTCTACGCTTACTTTTCTCGCGCTTGTGCTCCTAATTAAAAAAATGTAGGAGCACCTTCTAATCAATAATCAAAAATTAACCTTCCCATTACGAGGTGACATTTGACTCCTTAAAGTGATTTACAGGGAATTTTGTTTTTACCTTTGTAATGCCATTTTTTCTAACTTTATTAAAAGTATGTCATCTTTTATGTCCAATTCAAAAAAATATATTTATAAGCTTTTTAACATTTCTAATTAAAAAAAT